CCTCCTCCTCCTCCTCCTCCTCCTCCTCCTCCTCATCCTCCTCCTCGCCCTCCGTCTTCGTTCTTCGTTGCTTCTCTGTTTCCTCCTCCCTTTACTCCTCTCGTTCCTCCTCCTTCGCCTCCTCCCCCTCCTCCTCCACAGCAGCAGCAGACGCGGCAGCAGCAGCAGACGGAGCAGTTCAACATCAGCAACATCATCAGCATCAGCATCAGCAACGTCAATATCAGCAGCATCATCAGCACCAGCATAATCATCAACAGCACCATCGTCATCAGCATCAGCATCATCAGCAGCAGCATCATCACTATCATCACCAGCATCTGCATCATCATCATCAGCAGCCGCAGCCTCATCAGCATCAGCATCACCATCATCACAGACATCATCAGCATCCGCATCAACATCATCACAATACTCATCAGCATCATCAGCGTCAGCATCAGCATCAGCACCAGCATCAGCAACATCATCATCAACAGCATCATCATCGTGATCAGCATCAGCATCAGCATCAGCATCAGCATCATCACCATCAGCAAGACCACCATCAACCTCGACATCAACATCAGCATCATCACAAGCATCACCATCGTCACCGTCATCATGAGCAAGGTCAGCATCCTCAACATCATCACCAGCAGTATCGCCATCGTCGTCGGTGTAACCATCATCCGCATCATCATCAGCATCATCATCAGCAGCATCACCATCATCATCAACATCAGCATCATCATTGTCATCATCATCATCATCAGCAGCAGCATCATCATCATCAGCATCATCACCATCATCATCAACATCAGCATCGGTATCATCATCATCATCATCATCATCATCATCATCACCATCATCATCATCATCATCATCATCATCATCACAATCAGCAGCATTATCATCACCGTCGCCAGTCGCATCATGAGTTGCATCATCATTACCATCAGCATCAGCATCATCATCATCGTCAGCACAATCAGCATCACCATCATCATCACCAAGACCAAGATCACCCTCATCAGAATCAGCATCATCAGCAGCATCGTCAGTATGATCAGCAGCATCATCATCAGCATCAGCATCCGCATCAGCATAATCATCAGATTCATCAGCATCAGCATAATCAGCATCATCACTATCAGCATCAACAATATCAGCATCATCAGCAACAGCATTATCAATGTTACCGTTACCTGCAACAGCATCACCATCGTCATCATCATCAGCATCAGCATCAGCATAATCATCAGCATCAGCATCGTCAGCATCACCATCAGCATCAGCATCAGCAGCAACAGCAACAGTATCATCAGCATCATCATCATCAACATCATCATCAGCAGCAGCATCATCACCAGCAGCATTATCATCTCAAGCACCATCATGAGCATCATCGTCAACATCGTCATTGACATCACCAACGTCATCACCAACATCATCATCACCATCGCCACCATCAGTATCGACAGCATCATCAGCATCATCACCATCATCACCAGCAGCACCATCATCAGCATCGCAGCATCAGCATCAGCATCATCAACAATATCAGCATCACCATCGTTAGCAGCAGCATAAACGTCATTACCAACAATAGCCGCAACAAAAACAAATTTAAGCATGATAAGACGGTTCGCTGTCATCTGCTCGCGCCCCATTCATCACGTCTACCCCAAACCCTCGATACGGGCCTTATTCGTCTTCGGTCGTACCCCCTAGGGGCAGATCATTCTTACCTGCAACGCGTATTTCGTGCAGCCCCTAAGGCAGGGGAACAGAGGAAGGATGGAAGGAAGAGACAAGGGGGAGAGAGGAGGATGGAGCACAAGAGAGAATAGCAGGACGAGGACTAGGAGCAGAGAACACGTGGCAGACCCAGACGGGCAGATCGGGCGGGTAGACCCTAACGGGCGGGTCGAGAAGGCGGGCCCAGTCGGCCAGGTCGAGCAGGCGGGTTGCTGAAGCGTGCGTCCTGCATGAATCGCGAGAAAGTCTTGGGCGATAGCGCGATTCCCAAATCAATCGTGCACAAATCCATCGCGAGAGCGTGGTTCCTGAGTGTCGAAGGTGCGGCGACTGAATGGATTACAAGGAAGTCCCAAGCGAGTCCTCCAAAATTTGTGAAGAAGTCCCGCGCGTGAGCGCGACTTGGGAATACATTGTGAGGACGTATCAGGCGGGCGCTGTTGAACTCTCACTACTGAAAAATAAGTATTGTTGATCCCCCCCCCGGTGCACACCGTAGTTCCCCCACATCCAAAGTGGGGTTCTTGTTTTCTCTGCACACGCCGCGCAGGATCTCACCCTCCTTTCCTCACTCGCACACTCACGCACTCACACACTCATCATCACCATCTTCATCACCATCATGAATCAGCATCACCCCTCATCACCAGCATCATCCTCATCATCGTCACCACCACCATCACTCGATCACGCACTCACCCACTCATTCACTCACTCACGCACTCATCAT